GTGATTTCTATGACAAAATTTACTACAATTTGATAAGAAACGGTGACTGACTGATGATTAGGCATTATATACCATCGATGAATAATTAAATTTTAACTTTCAGTTAATTCCTAGTGATGGAACGGATGAGTTACTTATCACCTTCTTATTTTTGACTCGTTACGTAAAAGCACCAATCGTACTTCGAGTTGACATCAAACACCCTCAGTGAAGGGTTGAGAACCTGACGAACTGTTTGCGATTGGCACTCTTGCTGATGGCAGTAGTTTGTTGTTTGTAGCTTGCTTGTGCTTGCGTATGCAAGTCGTTGAGTGCCGTTGTTCTTATTTTATGACGTCATCGTTATCATGCTCGTCGTTGCTGATTGGACACAATTCTTAATCAGTAACTGTTTGGCAGTGTTCTAAACAAATACATTTCGAATAAATATGCTAAAGAAAGAAAGTTTCAAGCGAACAATCGATCAATGAATCTTTAATTGATCACTCATTCATTCATTTTATTCAGCCTCTTTCCTTTCTCTGTTCTTCTCTTCCTTTTATTGTCGTCCGTCAGCGATATTATCATCTTATCATACTACCTTTTATAGCATTTATTCACCTCCGTCGTTCATTTATCCTTGGCTATTTTATTCTCATCATTATTCTTTTTGTTATCATAATTGTTGTTATTCATCTTATTTTCAACAACTTTCAATTCGATTTTTCATATCCAGTCCTCTATTTGATCAGTTATTGTTAAAATTTGCATATAACAGCTGTTCAATACAGCTGCATCTGCATTCTAATTCTATAACAATGAGCACTACTCCTCATGCTTCTAAACAACGTTCATTAGAAGCACAAGTTGGAAATGAAATAATGAAAACAAATGAAGAGGAGATAATGTTGGACAGCGCTGATAATGATAATCACTCGTCATCACAGAATAAAAGTTATCTGCAAAAGATGAGTAATGAAGAAAGGAAGAATACAGAAGCGGAACTTTATTCGATTATACGCGAAGGGCTTAAAGAAATGATGCTATCAAAGAAGGCATCCACATCATCGAGTAATCATAGAACTTCATGCTCAACCACGAATCACCGTGATACATTGCGGATAAAAGCTGAATATCGCGGTGAAAAGTTTTGTATCGAAATGCGACGTCCAGTTTTATTTGAACACTTATTCGAGCATTTATCATCGAAATATAATCGTCAGTTGAATATTTATTATACGCTTAGTAACAGTGAACTGATCGTACCGATACGCAACCAACTTGAATTGGATCGAGCTGTCGAATTACTTGATCGATCACCAGCTCAACGAAGTTTACGACTTGTTTTATCAAGACACTATTCGGACTCATCACCCACATCTTACTCGGCTCCGCAAGGCAATTTTATGCCTGATGCATCCGGAACATTCACGTCTTCAGCAGCGACATCATCAAGCATAATCGAGGTTTGTTGATCTAAATTAATTGAATTGATTCATTAAGTGTGTATCCTCGTTGTTTTCATTAGCAGTCTTTTGTTTGTAAGTGACTCAGAAATCAAAACTCAGAACTGACACAATGACCGCTTATTTATGTTTTCGCACACGCTCACTGAAAGTTTGGCTGTTGTTTTTGTTCGTGCCACAGTGTAAGCATGGGGTAGTGACACGACCGGGGTTTTTGTTTGAGGCTGAAGTTGACTGCGAGTTCTCCACGCAGTATGAGTACAATGTGCTTCGTGATTGAATTGAGAAGTTTAAGAGTAATCGGACAATTTCTGATCAGAAAAATCGAATCACTGCTCTTTGTTTCTCCTCGATACTTCATGGTATTTCATAGATCGCGTTTAAACTGCATCAGAAACAAGAGAAACGGACCAATCGACTTCAAAGTTCAAATGAATATGCTCAGAAACAAATTCTGTAAGCCCAGGAATGTGAAACATGGCGGGGCAATCCCGAAGAAATTTCAAGGCAAAATCTCGGATCGTGCTGTTGTGCTATTTGCCCCTATAAACTGTTAGTGAAGCGACTTAGCTTTAACTGTAGCAACAAAAAGTACAATCGCCTAGTCAAGTTCAAGTTTTCATCGAGGTAATACACAAGAATACGAGCTAGAAGCATACAAGCACAGAAAGCATTGTCTCAAGCCTGAATGTGTTCTGTGGAGAAAGTGCAAAGGATTTTTGACTCATTTTAATAGTAAGCTCTCAATAAATCGTTTCATAAATTGAAATATAAATTGTTTTTCCGTGGTTATCTTTTTCAGTTTGTGAATCGATTTACATCTACTAAAGGCTTGTAAAATCATATTTCGTATGTAGGTATACATTATAACCTACTACTTTTTCTGGTTTAAATTATTTCTTTCTCTGCGTTTTCCAAAAACTTTTCAATTTCTCGAATATGTTTAGCATACTGATCCAGTGAGCTTGTTTTGTGACATCACTAAATCGAAAATATAGTCTTCTATTAATTACTTATGATGACAATCATCAATTTTCTTTGAGACGTTCCTGTGATGGGAAAGGAAAGCGTAAGTGTAATAATCTCTCATAAAGGGATGAAAATATAGTTGGCACATGATAACTACAGTGGTGCTGACCATAGCCAATACTTATTAAAACAGTTAGTGATTTTGAGAATATTTTCAACACAAACGATAATGTTCATTTGGTAAACGGCTGTAAGATAGGTGTACGAACGATTCCACGAGAAATGCATGAAAGGGTGGTTGATTTAGCATAGTTCGATGATTGTCATGAGTTGGTAGTGTATTGTTGATATTACTTCTATTTCATTCCCAGAAGTGCGATCTTATCAAAATGAATCCTTTTTCTTGGAAATCATCCTCCTAACATATTCCTGATCAACACTGTCGAGATTTTCTTTTAGAAATTAAGCGATTTCGTTCATTTTTGGTCTTTCTTCCCTTTGCAAGAATCAGTTAACTCATCATCTTAACATTTTACAGACTTTCAAGGTAATTTGTATGGATTCATATGATTTTTCGTACTTTTTTTCTTATTTTTCATAATAATACCCTTAAGTTGATGTCCTTAATCAACCTTAAACTAACGAAGTTTTCGAAATGAATGTTCAATTTTAATCGCAAATCATTCAAAACTTCGTATTTTATCAAAATTTGCAATTCTTTTGCTCCAAGCATGGTAGTTTTCGTGCTGATTCTTATTTTAGCGTACAATCATTTTATGAAAGTTAAATACGTCGAGCTTTTTCGTGAGGATCATATTTATAGTGAGCATTCGTAAGTGTTATTCTTTAAATAATTCTCGTTTGTGTATGGATCTATATTTAACTTACTCATTCATCCAAAACTCAATTTCAAAAAAATATTCGTATGTTCGATATTGCAAGAGTTTTATTTATTAGTTTTTGAAGCACTATATAACTTTCTATAATAATTGCTGTCCAGCTACACTCATGTCAGCTACGTGTCTCATTATATGATGATTGGAGATGAAACGTATGAAAAGGGTGAATTAATTTCATGTATAATTTCTCGATAGATTCATCAAGTTAAACGCATCTCAAATTTCGTCGGCTAAAAATTTCTTCATCACTTTGTCAATTATAAAATGACTTTTTCGAACGTGTATAATAGGAAATCCATGAAGAATTCTGAATTTGACATTTTTTGGAAATTTACGTTGCAGCAAATAGTTGTTAGTTGTGTTGAATTTTGTGTGGATGTTTGAACACGTGCAAAATATGGTAGTTTAGTTTTCCGGGGAGGGGTTTTCTTTTTGGGAAGACACTTGTTCAAATTGGCAGCAAATGACGAAAGGAGGAGAAATTCTGAGTGGAATGTGAGACAGAGTGTGGAGCATATGAAATGTCCGCCAGTTATTAGGCACACATGCAGTTGAGCATTGAGGTGGTGCATAAAGGTTGATGAATTGAAATTTGATACAGAAAAAGAAAAGTTATTAACATTTGAGATACCATACTCGGGATGTCACTCATGCTCATCAGCGAGCAATAGCACCTCAACAGCGACTGCAAATCGATGGCGAGGTGCGCGAAGTGGTGGAGGGAGTAGTGCAAGTAGTGGTATTGTTCTAGCAGATTATCATTATTACGATAACAATGATTACGAACGTCGTAATACTAACACACCTCGTGCTCCAACCAATTGGAAACAAGGTAAATGTATCGGTTCTGGTGCATTTNCATTTGGTCAAGTGTTTTTGTGTTATGATGTTGATACGGGCAAGGAAATTGCTCTCAAGAGGTTGGCTGCTAATCTTGAACTACTCAAATAACTCTTTAATCGTTTCCATACTCTTAAATTTTCAATAATAAAGCATCTTACCTAAACCATTCAATCGATAGACAAGCAATATGATTCTCTTA